CACCCTCACGGACCACCTTCAGGTTTCCCCCCGCTGTTCTGGTTGCTAGGATCTCCCCGGAGCTGCTCGGACCCTCTCTGGTTTCAGCTCTCAGGTCACCTGGACGATCGCCTTCTCCTCCACCTGGCCAGCTTTGAGTCAAACCCGCCTTCTCCCCGGTCCGGCTCTCCCCGCTCTGAGGTAAGCGTTCGTCCAGCTGAACATTCCTCTCTGCCCCGTCCCTGGTTAACCGCCCTTCTCATTCCCCTAGACGTTCCTTGGTTCCGGCTCCCTGTGCTGAGCTTCGGTCTGCGGTTGCAGAATCCCCTTTCGTTCTGTTTTTTCCAATAAAAACCCTCAAAGATCTGCCTGTTTCCAAGTGTGTTCAGCATGTGGGCCAAACACGTCAAGCCAAACATGACAGCTACAAGCAATAGTCAGTGTCTTACCACCTATTCAACCTGCATGCAAGAAAATGAAAAGGTCTGAGCTGTCATTGTCACGTGACCATATAGACTTACAGGTGAAATGTCCACTGCTGGCCCACTGACTGGACCGGACCTCAGCAGAGAGCGATGAGCCGCCTGTCCTCAGCTGGAGGAGGGGGGCTGGGGGCCGGTAAGACAGGTGGGGTGAAGCACGGGGCCTCCGGTGTCCAGGTTACCGTCACTGGGTCGGGTTTGGTCACTCTGTCCCCCGCTGGCTTCCTGCCACTGTCCGCCGGGGTTCCCTGACCAGCCCTGAAGATAACGGCTCGGTTCGAGCGCCCGGTGTCTTCCGACTACGTGCTGCACTGTAGTCCAAGGGTGTATCTTCCAAAAATGAGCTCAAACATATATTTATTTAATGCTTTCCTATTGTTTAGAACACAAGAGAACTATAATACACTTACGGTCAGAGTGATGTTTTTAGTGCATTATGTATATAGGGCCCAAAAACATTAATGTATAATAAATAACGAATAACTGCGAAAATAGTTATATCATGCATCCCAAGAAGTACATTTTCAGTTCCATCCATCCAGAAAAATATTGATATGCTGCATTTTAAGTATAGCATAGCATATTTTTTTATTGTGAACTTTCTGGTTTGGAGATATATTTTATTGCATGTTGCATATCCCGGTATATCTGTTTTACCTTTAAATCTGCAGCTCTCCCTACTTCTCTCTGTGTTCTGTTTAGAAAGATGCATGAACCCCTCTACTAATATAATGATGCTAGAAAAAAAAAGTTTCAAGATATGTAGGAGCTCTGCAGTCTAATTCTGTACAATAACTAAATAAATTTTTCAGTGGTATGATCTCTAATTTTTTTAACCAACCAGTCTCGTTTTACTTAAACATCAAAGTAGCTGCCGGTTAATATTCACTGAAAGCGGCCGTGTCTCTCCTTCAACCATGCAGCTACTCTCTAAGTAGTGAAATGCGACCACAAATCAGATGACTCAAAGCAACAGATCTGATGATGTTACACTGAGAGGCGGGACACGGGAGCAGCAGGGGACAGGAAAAAAAACACTGACTGAAAATGCTCTGAACATAGATAGCTGCACCCAACCTCTGTTACCTTTGGCTACAGGAAATAAGTGGAAAGGGGACAAAAAGCACAAATTAGAAGTGGGGACAATGGTCACACCAGTCCTTCAGAAAGTTACACCTGTGCTGTATTCAACCAAACACCGGACGATTTTGGAATTCCCACTGGACATTCTTTTAGGTAAGAAAAGTAGGACATGTCTGAGAAAAAGAGGACGTCTGGTCACCCTATTCATGACTCCAGCATGTCTCTATTACAGACTGACACCGGAGTGGATTTTCATATGAAGGTAAATATGTGCCAAAATGAACGAACTTGTGAATTTAATGTGAAAACTTGAGAATGCAATGTGAGAATTTGTACCACAAAAATCTGAACTTGTATGCCAAAATGTTCTGTTGTAAAGAAAAATTGCGCACACACACAAACTAAATTTTAAGTTGCACTAAAAGACATATCAGGCAAGACCATGTAGAAAAAAATTACACTTGTCAGTCCAATCTTCGCCTAAAGAGGATTTTCACTCAAATCTGATTTAAATGTGAATGCACAAAAAACTATTTACTGGTGTGTTCATATAGTTATACACAAATAAAATTACAGCTGACAAATGATTATTGATAGTTTATTTGTAATTATTATT